TTAAATGACATTGCATTCAAAGAGGCTGATTGACGTGGATCTCTTCATGCCTACTGCACAATGTAGCGGTCTTACCTTAGAGTAGTTGTTCTTGGTCGACCACCTCCTCTCCTTCGTGCAGCAGTATAAGAGGTTCGGAATGCTCCCCGCGCACGTGAAACAACGCTGTGAGCGATATCAGGTTCCTGGGCTGCGTTCGTCTTTTTTCGAACTTTTTCGAGTTTCTCGATGATCCTTCCTCGTGCCAGGTTATCCAGACGATGTCAGAGGGATATGATGTATAAAAGGATAACACCACAGTACTTGGTAGCAACTAGCTGATTGACAAAAAAAAACTTTCGTACCTAACAGCTCCCGCGATTTGTGCGGGTAGCTATATTTCTCACTTTATTTGAACTATTCCTCCACCAAGGGATGTCCAACTCCCTGTGATAACGGTCATAGGTCTGGCAATATAATCCCACACTTTCATTTATTTCCCTCCAGTCCTCAATGTTTTATGTTACATTATCCATCGCGTCTCTGAGTTTTGCACACCAGTGTATTTATGCTCGGTGGATACCCGTAACCTCCAGCTGTTGCCATCGTTCAGTACGCATTAGCCAAAATGACAGAAAGTTTTCGCGTCTCTGGCGTCATGGTGGTGCCATTTATTTTCAATTCTGCAATTTTTCTTTTATTATTTACCTCTACTTTGGGAAGAACTTGCCTTAATGAAAAATTACAAACAAAGAAATTCGGATAGTTTTCCTTCGGCCACAAGGTAGAGATTTTGGGCAATAAAAAGTTTTGTGATAGCTACTGCAGAAGGTGTCCTCTAATGTCGTCACTGGTGATAACTACGAAGCTATAACGAAACAGTTATTTTAAGGTTGCCGAAGTCCAACGAAAGAAAGAAAGAAACTAGCGGTTGATTAGGTTCCTTTACTAATAATCGAGACAAAACGTGACCCCTCATTAAATCTCATACTCGTAGGGTAACCATTAAAATAAGGCAAATCTACTTATTCAGAGTGAATGAGATTTATCACATCTTATCGTCACTAAAAGCATTGACCAACTTAGATCACCCATCATTAATTATTTCATGTTGCCACGTTTACCATTTGCTAGCCGTGGCGTTGAATACTGCAAAGAGATTAAGTTGTTAGCTCCTTAGTAACCATTAAAAGACTTTATTACTTGCTATAACTTAACTTCCTGCGCTCAATCATTTACGATCGCTCCGTACATCACTCCGCACAATCTCAAGGCTTCACAACCCTTACGAAGAGCGTAACGGATCCAGACACTTTCGCTCTCTAAGGTGCTACCAGTTCTTATGAGGTGTTAGGTTCCGGTGATCCACCGTTGATGGCGTTGCCCTCCCCGATACGGGACACGGGCACGAGTTCAGTCGGCGGATACGTACATTGCATGTTCTATGTACTTATTCGTCGACTGAACCCGTCCAGACCGATAAGTACATTACAAGCTCTGTGTCCAAAACAGTTAGGAACATGGAATTTCTTCTTCATTTTATTGTTCAAAGTTGATTTCTGACATGTGATGGAGGCCAGCTATCCATCCTTGAGCGTTGACATCACAGCCATGGTGTGGAAGAAAATTGGTCGGCAATACCATTGCTACTCTTAGAACCGACCTTTTTATTTCATTCTTGTTCATTTTTCTTATTTTTCCTTTTTTTGCGAGGTTCAGGAGGAATAGAAAAGCTGGGGTAGAAACAAGGAGTAGAAACAAGGGGTTAGACGAAGGTGTCAAACTAAGGCCTTTATATTGTCAACTACAGCGGGTGATATTCATTTCAGGAGAGCACGATGCATGCCATAATAATAGTATTCTACGGGATACGTTGAGCAGTTTGTTCTAAAAAATAATATCAGCTAGTCAAGGCTCGTCTGAAAAACTGGAAACATTTGTGACAACGATCCTCAGCCGCATATATCTTTAGGGCAGATGCGGGCACGATCCTGGTAGCCGCAAATTCCACATTAACTCACGAAACGAATCACAGCCTAGACCAATCAGGACGTTTTAACAAGGGTAGCTTGCTGTTGAGAGATTAACAAACAACGCCGCCAAACAGCTACAAGAGAACCAAAGGTGTTTTGGAGTTCCTGCGTGAGCCAGATGTTCAGTGGTCTTTCGCATTGAGAAACCACGCATTTACACTTGATTAGATTGGCATTCAACGAGTTTAGTCAACGGAAACCAGTTCTTTAACTTTACTGAGGAAAGAGGAAGAGAGGTATCACTGGTGCTGATTTCCGACTCATGGCCGACTCTACAATCAGAGGAAAATATAACATTGACTAACCGTAAGTGCCTAACAATATGCCTTTGCCACAGAGAGCCTGTGATTCTCAAGGCGCGAAGACCTCTATGCTATTTGTTTGTTAGCTCTTTACCGGAGCCTGGAACTCTTTGCTTTGATGTGTTGTGTTGCTAGATGCGATTGCGCAGAGAGCTGATCACACCATGCCAGAACTATCCAGAGTTGCCTTTCACTGCCTCTACGGAGCGTGACAAGTTCTTTGGACTTCCTTCTTGGGTCCCCAGTGAAGGGTGCAGCCTTTATAACGCCGTTGAAACTTGTCTGCGCGTACACACGGGACAATCATTGGGCCTTTATAACCCCCTTTCCCTTGACAGCGCCGTATATGGCATTCTAGGGGTCACAGATTTATCCTAGAGGGATATCCCATGGGACATTTTTATCGCGAACTGTGCCTTTACGTTGCATGCAGCTGTGTTTTTCGCAGCTACCGTAGTACCTTTACAAAAACGCACCGGGATCTCCTTCATCATCGGGTTCGCGTCCTTCCTCCGACGGCCATACTGATGTCGTCAAAACCTGTTAGTCCAAACCAAACAATTCTTGGAAAATTAGAAGGAAAAAGGACATACCGTAAATACAAGCAGTGTTTTGTACACGAAAATTTTGATGCCTATGCTTACAATTCATCGTGGCCTTATAAATGGGTTTCCATCGGAAATCCGTGCAGACACTTCATCGCCCATATTATTGCCATCGTGACAGTCTCCTGCCGTACGTTACCCAAATTAAAGTAGCAAAGTATTTCAAGTGCACTGGAACACATCGATAATTTCGCAGATCACAATGGCTACGTGGTTTTTGAAAACTCGATTTAAATCAAAATGAATGTATACATGTGATTACCTTATAAGCTGATGTGGTAAAGCACCATAAGCACTGGTTAGTACACTATAGCTGGTATATTTGAACGATTACAATAGCTCTATAATACCCTTGGACTTAATTCATATTTGAGATGAGTTTGGGCACGTGAACATAATATTGTTGAGGGAGTGATTGTCCCTTGCCCATGCCAGCAAGTTGACGTGGTGGAGCATTACATAAGCTGAAAAACAGATCTTACTAAAAACATTTAAACTTCATCGTAGGAAGACAATGACATGGGAGACTACGTGACTGCACGGCTTTCAGATTGACACATATTTAAAAGGACCACCCGAAATTGTAAGCCCTCATATCAAAATGTTCGTGTACATAACGCGACTTTAATTTAAGGTTAGTCCTACTCCCTCCTTAATTTTCTAAGAGTATAATGTAGTACGGATGAACAGGTTTGACATCAGTGTGGTCATTAGAGGGTGGATGCGAAACTGATGTTGAAGAAACGACAACGGCGACCCTTGCTGGGTCCGAAAGGTATTTCTGGAGGTGTACAGGTACTACGGTAAACATAGTTGCCTGCAGCTCAAAAGTACGTGAATAGGATATTCCCGCAACGCAACGCAATAAAACAAAGAGCTCCATGTTTCGGTAAAGAGTTAGCAAGCTTGTAGCATTGAGGTCATAGAGCCAAGCGAAGTACACCTGGTTCGAGAAGCGCCAAAACATTTACGGCTCTCTTTTAAGGGGTACAGTAGTTTGGCAACGCATCAAGTCAATCTATTTCAACAGGAAGATCTTCTTGCTAAGACATCCTGATTGGTGTTGGGTATTCGAATCTGGCTGAAGTGAAATTTGCGGCTACCAGAAAGGTACCCGCATCTGCCCTAAATATAAATGCGGCTGGGGATTTGGTAGCAAATGTTTCCAACATTTAAGACAAAAGTGCACGATGAATCCCATCGAATACTATGTACTGTTATAAAACAGATGGCATGCTTCGTGCTCTCGTGCTAGAGTTTACTGTTTTGATTTGGTCCCAATTTGACACTTCGGCACTTCTAGCCATTCTATTCCTTGTTTCCTCTCCTACCTGAAGTAGCAGTAGAAGATGCCTTGGATAGGAGGTGGAGACGACTGACAAGTAGCGGACCCGATCAACGCTAGGGCGAAGAGGAGGACCATGTTTTTCCTCTTGCTTTTCTGATTCTCTAGAGGAAAATTAAGAAAAATAAAAAAGAAGGAAATGAAAACAAGGTCGGTTTCGGGAGTAGATGTATTATTGTTGGCCAATTTTCTCCAACACTGAGGGTGTGTCAACGCTCAAGGATGGAAAGGGTGACTTTCCTGTCACCTTTTAAGCCGAATTTCAAATAGGATATTGAAGCAGAATTTCTGAGTTCATCTGTTCTTGACCTCGAGCCTATAATGCACTTATTCGGCAAGGTTTCAGTCGACGGATAAGAACATGAACCCTTATGACCTTACTCTTCAGAGCTGCTTTCGAAAAACATGTCAGCAGGAAAGAAGAGGTATGGTCCTGAAGAGTGACACCGAACTTCACTCTTTGTCATTGCTTCGCAGACTGTGATTTAAACTCTGACTATCAAGAGGAAGGATCGTGAACTAGATATGACCACTCTTGTGTTAAAAACGGTTCGTATCAATCCAACAGATTGATCTCAACAAAACCGTCAACTTCGTTAATCCCGGCGGGTATAATGAACAACATAGCTTCGGAGCTGTCTAAACAACAGCGGCGGTGTGGGGATCATTCAAAAACATCGAATGATAAGCACACACACGAAAAAGAAAAGCCGTGCGCGCGTTTTTTTTNTTTTTTTTCGGCTCTGCACTCCTTCATGCTCCGACCTTGTTCTCGAAGGCTTGAATTCTCTGTATGCAGTATAAGCATGCGATCGGTTTCATACATCGGATTGAACTTTCCTTACGCAAAAAGCAAAGAGCAGCTAGGAGATATAACTCCGCTGACGCATGAAGCTCATGCACGTTGCAGTGGAATTCGAGGGTTGCAGAATCTTTCAAGGAGTCAAACGAACATCGAATCGGCTGCTAGTTCGGTGGTCAGGCTTATCATGGATACTTTCAACTGAAAAAAGGGTGTGCTGCGGTTTTTGGAAAAGGGAACCACTTGATTGCAAGGTTTGCCACCGAGCATAGAGTGGGCATGAACGATCCGCTCAAGAAAATCTACGATTGGAGTGTTTGTGGATCATAAAAGGTGTCTTGTTTCATTTGTTAAGTACGAAAGCTTTTTCCATTCATTCACCACGTTCCGTAGACACCAGAAATCACGGGTGATCAATTTTTGGCTCCTTCAATCACAGAGGTATTTTTGCGTTCTTGTTTATTGATAACTCAATGCCCTAGTGCCCTGTCGAGTGTTGTTATCCCTAGCACCAGCCACTTTCTACTGTTGTTCGTTTCCTCCGTCGTACCCGCACCGCACAATCCTGCCTTTACTGCGCTTGTTAGCAAAGATTGCGGGCAGGCTACGAAGAGGGGATGCTGGCTTCTTCTTTCCATTTTTATGGAAGTCTGTAATATCAGAATATATGTTTTCCCTAAAGTCTTTTTATGTGGTTTTCCTCCGTTTGTTTTGTTCCCTTGGTTCACTTTGTTGATGTCAGTAAAGTTCTCCAATCACTCTTCTGTTTTTCTAGTCTTGCGACTAACCGGCTCACAAAATAAATGAATATCTGAGAAACACTTTTCCGTGGTGTAGCTTTGTTATGTAACCTTCATGAAAAGCGCTAGCACCCGTGAAGAATAAAAACATTTCTTATAAATATGTCTTTAAATTGTATTTTGGACAACTATTAGCCCACAGGAGAGAACGATTGATCGTCAACATGAGTTATCAATGTGTTTACCATGTCTGGACTTCGCACTGATAAAGGAATTCGTTTCGTACAAAGCATCGGCTACCTTGGCGATAACGCAGTCCAGTAGCGTTTCTCTCTACTCAATTATGTTTACTAAGGGTTTATCGTGAAAATGTAAGTTCATTATGATGGTTCGAGCAACTTCAGATGAAAGCTGCCATTCTTCTTTTGTTCTTCGGCGTCGCTGTTGCCATGAGGGATCAATCCATAGCTGTGAAAGGAAAACTACTCTGTGGATCAAAACCAGCAGCTAATGTTCGCGTGAAGCTCTGGGAAGAAGATGGAGGTAACTTTTTTTGATAAAGAACCATACTACAATCCCAATATTCAGCTATCCAACCCTAACATAGTAACCTGAATATAGTTCCTTCAATGTTGCAGGACCTGATCCGGATGACGAGTTGGACGCTGGCTACACGGATGGTAGCGGAATGTTCCAGTTATCTGGAGGAACAGCCGAGCTAACGCCAATTGACCCTGTTTTCAAAGTCTATCATGACTGCGATGACGGTATCAAGGTGAGTCCGAAAGTACTTTCGTATTTCTCTTCATATTAGATCATTTTTCAGCCCGGATCTCGCAAAGTAAAATTCTACCTCCCAAAGTCCTACATCACAGAAGGAAGAGTTCCTAAGAAGACCTTCGATATTGGCAAGTTTCAAGAAATTTTAACAGAAAACAACAAAAAATACTTTACCGTTCTGGAATAAAAAAGGGTGGCGGGAATTTCAAGGTAATGAGAAAGGATAGTGCATGGGTTGAGACAAAAACTGGCAAAATTATGCTATTTGTTCACAAGAAAATTTCACAATTGACTGCGCTCCTGCAGTGAGTACCTCTTCTTACCTCTTTCACAAACGTAAGGTGAAGAGCGAACATTTCAAGGTAGAACGCGATGATATAGAGTTCTTTGTGTTATGAAGAGGGTGGTAGGGCTTTTGCAGCGGTAAACCCTCTTCGCCAGAAAATGGCACGGTCATCGGTGAAGATATAGTTATTTTTCCAGGATTGACAGGGTAGCAGTAATTGCTAAGCAAATGATCTTAGCCAATCTTTACGAGGTCTGAGACTATTTATTGAAGGTGTCCTAAATCTGGAGACGATCTTCCCTGGAGAAGAACGCGAGTTGGTCGTCTCGCGTGCGCGACGCTATTACTTTCTAGATGATGACTATGATGATTGAGTTGCTTTCTTTTCTCCTTTCTGAATCAAAGCCGATGTTGTAAATTTGTCTTTATTCTATGAATAAATCGTTTTTTCTTTTTTCGCAAGTAGTTTGTGGCACTTCAGCACAGTCATTTAGAAAGAAATCCGTAATTCCAAAATCTGTAAAAAGGAGTACTCTATTGCTGCGGTAAGGCTAAAAGAATGTTCACGGTCTCTCCCCATCTCCAACGCAATTTCAGAAGCTAGAAGAATGAATTGCTGGCTGTAAAGCAGACTTCCAAGTAGACACGTCTGTGGACTAGCTTTTTGAAGCAACTTAGAGCAACCATTCAGAGGAATCTGCAATAACCTTCAGAATCCGTACGAATATCTAGGGGTTTTTTTTGCTATTTTGTAATGGATAGCGACAACTCCATCACCTTCAATGTAAAACATAGCAAAGCAATTAATTTTGGCCGCGGTGCACTCAACAACACAGCACGATAAGGAATTGCTGACCCGCTGAGTTGGATAGCGTTGAACGCTTATATTGGGTGGAAACAATATTTTGCAAAAAAATCATGATGGGGAAAGAGGAGATCATGGGGAGGGGCGAGGTAACGGAAGGTGTCCATGAGGTCATCAACACGAAGACTAGGCTGTGTAAGACTTCGCCTCGCAATTCTTACACAAAGTGCTGCCCAATGTGGTCCACAAGCTCTCCTTTCTAAATCCAAGGTCGATCCCCAGTTGTAACTCATGAGACAATTCCAAGTATTTCTGAATCATACTTGAACTGAGCTGAAGTCTGAAAGGTGTTTGACATGGTCGAATCTCAAATATTTCTGACTTCCAGGCTCTGACGAAGGCGACAACGCCAAAACGTTGGCCGAATAAGGAATTGTAAATCCTGGCTGAGGCTTTACAAGAACACCTTCATATGGGAACTTCACTCTTCACGCCAACGCCAAGCCCGCTGAGCCTTGCACCTTCGGATTGCCACCTTTTATACTCACAGTCGAACTAAATGTTGAAGCCCTAAGATGCATTACATTCGACAAGGAAGAGGACTTCGGGAACTGGCTCGACAGTCGGGTGATTTTTGGCGAAGTGGTATCGAAAAAACTCTCGAGCGGTGGGGAAAGGTCGTAAATAGCAACGGCGAGGACATGAAAGATGAATTTATTGTTATACCAATGATATGCTTCAATAAGAGCATTTGCTAATATTGCTACGGACTTGTTTGTCAACCTAATATATAACATAATACGCAAAGTACGTGTGTTATAGGAGCATACGTGCAATGGCTGCTTATATGTGTGTTGGTTCAAGTTTTTTCACGTCTTTTTGAATGGGGAAGCAGTAGACCTCTAGAGACACTGCATTACGGATTACATGATTGGCCTACAAACATCAAATGCTGACATCGAATTTTCGAAGGTAGATAATGTGTCATGGAAGCTGGATATTCAAGTTTGCTAAAAGCTTTCCCCTGAAACGACCCAGAGTGTGATACAGGTTTATGATGGGAAAACAGGGCAGTGTATTAATGTAATCACGATATAAGAACTGCAAACAGTAGAACATGTGAAGGTGTCGAGCATCACACTTCTCAAAAGTGAGCGTCTCAATGAAAGGTCGCGTTTCGTACTAACACAGTTGTACGTACTATATTAGACAGCAGAATACATTCTATTATCGAGTCCATGGAATTTTTAGTAGCGGTAGATCATGTTAAAGGTAAGAAGGGCAAATAGCAATGACGATATTATTACTGATGTCATGGTTATCACTTGCTAACAGCATGAAGAACGGTCGTTCGAGGAATCTTCTTCTGGGTAAACTCGGACGAGCAGATAGATAGATTGCTCAACTGTAAAGATATTGCTGCGTAGATCAAGAAAGATGAGGAGTTCAAGCCTCATCAATGAAATTCAAATTTATTGTCAGTAGCTCATTTTTGCTGGTGAAGGGCTAACGTAAGAGGCTGTGTAATACCATAAGCCATAATGCACGCGAGTGCCACCCGCTAAATTGAAAGCCCTCCATTGCTCTGAGGCTCTTTAATTCATAAATAAATACAACCGATAATATTAAGACAAAGTACTAAGATTATAAGGGGAGACAAGCCAAAGAAGTAGTTCAACTTCCGTTTCGCACGTGCCCTAGACGTAA